TGCCACTTGCACGGCCCCCAGTTTTCCGACCTCCGTCCTCCGTCCTTCGACCTCCTTTTCCCTGCATCCTGCATCCTGAATCCTGCATCCTGCAGCGGCAAGTGCAACTTGCAGGGTGTCTCACTGGGAATGGAAAATGGAAAATGGGATTGCGATTGCGATTGTGCGCCTGCTGACTCAGGGGCACATTTAAAGCTCGTTTAAGCGCTCGTTTCGCTTCATCTGGCCTTATCCTGGCAGCCTGATTAAGTAATCAAAGCATTTGTCAGCTACTTAATCTATCGTCAGCCACTTGGCCACCGCTGCGTATGCGTAACTTGTTAGAACAATGCGAGAAAAGAGCAGTTTAAAGGGTAAGTTTGAACAGTGATTGTAGAGAAAAAATTGTAGAGAAAAAGACGAGAAGGAAAAATGGCAAACTTAACTCATACAACGAAATGGATAAATTGCCCTGACTGCAGATGCATTTTGTTAAGCCAAACAAAGTACGAATGACATTTAATTTAGAAAATTGCAATCTTACCAAACCGAGTTAACCAAAAAGGAATCAAGTCAGTATAATTTTAAGGTAACTAAACATTTTGTAAGCTTAGAAAAATTCAACAATTTGAAAACACTTAACATTTGACTTTATTTATTAGAATAAAGGTATGTAAAAGTATTATATGGGTATTAATATTTAGGACCGCTTAAAAGTTAATTATTTAAAACCAAAGAGGCCAAAGTTAATTTGTAAAGTCATGCCCACAATCGCGGAAAGATAAACGTAATTCCTATTTTCTTTTAATATTTAAACCAAGTCGTTTTTTCGCTTTATAATATTATTATTAGACCCATAAGCATTTCCTTAGCACAAGACTTTTGGCAAACATTACATAAACACCTGATTCGCCATTTAAAAAACAAAATGTTCCTATTAATAACAACTGCCTAACAAATTGTGTCATATTTGTTGGACAACATGAATGCCCCCAAACAGTTTTGTTGGCAATCAGCGGCATCTAGCAGTCGAAAAGCAGCGACAACCGAAGGCAGCCAACAATCAACAGGGATATTACAAACATGTGTTTGCCGCCACAGTAACTCATGACCCCTCCTCCTCATCCCCCCATATACACACACACACACACCCCCACCATTTGTCAATACCCACACATACATACATATTTGACTTGGCGCCCACTTCCGTCCTCCATTTTTGCCTGTGACCCCAAGCAAAACAAGCGAAAAACACCGAAAATGTTTTATATTTTCCGAAAAACCAGAAATATGTTGCAGATATGTGCGTATATGAGTGTGTGGGTAGGGGTCGTGAGTGAGTGTGTGTGTGTGTGGGTACCGGGGGCGTGGCAGTCACGTGCCTACCGCTGTTAAATGTACTTTAAAAATCACTTAACGCATTTAACATTGATTTTCTAGCAGAACCGTTTTATCTCCTTACGCCATATTTATTTTGCATATTTTCATCAAGGATTATGACTGTACCCCAAAGCATTTTCCCATTTCCCTGCCCAATTTTCCCCATACGTCAAGTCAGAATCCTTGAGCAGATGAACCATTAGAAAACTGATATTAAATTCAATTCAATTTGACGGAATTTTCCTTCTTTTTTCGTTTTTATGTATAGCAAAATGAAATTTCAAATTTTAATGAGCAATCAACAGAAAAGAAAACCGGAAAATAATAAACGTAAATGGTACCCACGCAGGATGCGAGACTGAAAAACAAAGCAAACAAAGCCCCAAATGCTTAAAGTAAATTCAAATTTAATTAGGATTTTTTTCGTATTGTTTTGGGACTTAAACTCGGTGGAGAAAAAGGGACAGGAGGCGGCACCACGACCCAGTGGACTAAATGTAAATGAAAATTGACGCAAGGCAAGTTTATTAAAATGCGATTTGCATAAGCATGTGGGGGCAGGGGGTCCGAAGGTGAGGCCAATGAATTTTAAGGTGACTTGGCATGAAAAGTGGCAGATGTGGCAATGAAAATGTCGGAAAAGTCAACTGTCCGCATTAATTTTGTGCTATTTCGGTCCCCATTTTTCAGTTCGCTTTGCACACGCACATTCGAAACTCAATTAAAAGTGGCCCAAAGTACTATGGAATCTGTCCTTCTCAACAGGTAATAGCAAATATACTATTAGCTGAGTCATCAAGTTGGGCGGATGACTTTTAATTGGGTAAAATAAATATCTGTATCAAAGTCACTAAAAACTAGAGTTAGGTTTTTATAAGTTATCAGCTCTAATGAAGTAATATATTATTCAAATATTCATTAAAAGTAGGTTTATCTTTTACGTAATACAAAAGTTAATTTTGAAAAGGCTATCGTAATAAATAAACCCTCTAGTTAATTCATCATATAGGGGGTTGGCAGAGAAGAGTCGGTTAAAAAATATTCTATATATTTTTTGTAAGCATATGTACTTTTTAATCTTAAAGAAAAGTAATATTTTGCTCAACACTATAAAATCATTAACTGGTATACCAGTTCAAAATTGTATAATTATTTCAAGGCATAGATTTTTGTGGTGTATTTATTTAATAATTTTATTCAAGATGTTTCTATCGCCGACTTGACTTATTTTCTTTTTAATTTCCTCATTGGGGAATAATTTACCCAAGTTTTGCATCTAATTTGCTGCAGAAGTCCTGCTCTGTGAGACTTAAGTCCTCGACGCCAGTAGACAATGGGAAATTATTATTGCTAGAACTGCCAGAGCGCTTTTCTAGGAAGTCAAGCTCGCAGAGGACTGCTTGCCGCAAAGCGCATCAATTCAATTCATGTCAATTTTCCCTTTCGCCGACGACAGTCGGGTATTATGCCCTTTTGTGTTGTGGGGGGGTGAAAATAAGAGGTAGATAAAAACGCGAGCCACACGTGCGGCTATAGGACTATGCATGTGCCATGGTTTTGTGTGCGGTGGCAGCTGCAATCAATGCATTTTTTTCATTTTTTAATTGCTTAGCATAGGAAGCGCGTGGCAACAATTGGAGCGGATGGCCAGGGCTTCCTTTGCCGGCTGCATCCGCTATCGGTTCCGAACCGATTGAAAAGCGACCAAAGACGACGTAATTGACGTTGATCCACCTAACAAAGAACCACTCTCGGCCACCGGAGAAATAAATGTAAAAAGTTAAAAGTAAAACTCAAATTGAAAATTGTTGTCATCGTAAATTGGGAATAATTATTTTTAATTGTATGCGGTATGTGGTAAGCGAATTGCATGTGAAATGGAAGTTTTGAGCCGTCACATCAAGTATACGCCTCGTTGTGTACAGCAAGTATACGCCGCGTGCGAGTGCATAAAAAACGCATTAAGCAAACAACATTAAAATTAACTTAAATTCCGTTATATAAAGACCAAATGCATTTGACACATTTACTTAACCGCATTTCACCGGAATGGAATCATTTTCAAACGTAACTTTGCCTGCAACTCCCTTTAATCCAATAAAAGAAATTTGTTTGATGTTCGTATTACAAACTAATTACATCCACCAGAGATGGTCAGGGTATTTTAATTAATATTTGTCATTTCATTTTTACCGGCCCTGCATTTCATCCCACGCATATATGTCCAAATGCCTGGATCGACTTATGCTGGGAATGTATATGAGTTTGCTTAGATAAATATTTGTTTGTAAACATGCAGAATTAATTGGAATTATTTCTAGTTACATGGGATTTTAGGTTATTTGATAGGACAAAGCAAACAATGCCAAATCCCCTATCTCCTTTCGCTCGCAATTATCAAACGAAATTAATTTCCGAGTGCAAAAAAAAAATAATCATTCGAATCATTTCTCTCTCCATAATTGCCATTCGATATGCGAGAGATCAAATTTAAATTTAAATTAATGTTTCTGCCTGCATTGCAGCCTTCATGCGTTGCAGCTGCAAAATTGCCTGATTTGCATATTGCCAAGAAGCATATTCCGAAGATACTCTACTTAGTTTCATTAATAATTCAAGTGGCATCCCCAGGACCTTGTCATTGGCCTGTCACTACTCATTAGCGATAAGTCCAAGATTGAGTCCGGGATTCCCGCCCCAAAACACATTCGACTTGTTCAACATTGTTTGGCAAATGCAATTTTTGTCCAAATGGTATTGGTAAAAAGGACATTTGTTTGCTCAATTTGCAATGTTTTCTGCTTCCGCTCGAAATTTCGCAAATATTTGACAATGCAAAGCGCAAATTGCCTTGGGTATCGATACCACAGCAAAATGTTTTGGCAAAAATGGGCGAGAGGGAAATTTATATTGAACGCAATTTGTTTGTTTTGACGAAAAGAGAGAGGGAATCGATTTTGGCATTATATAAAGGGTTTGGCAAACGAAACCGAATTTTTCCACCTTTAAATTTGGTATTCTACATATTTTTTTAAACGATTTGTATTCAAGTTTTAACCTAGATTATTATATGTCGATGTTTGACATAGACGGTTTTATATTTATATTTATTGGTGTACTATTTTTTTCTGAATGTTTTATTTACAATTGATTGCAACTTTTTGTTATCAATCTATGCAATTACTTTTACATATATGTTACTTTGCATGAAATTTTATAAATTCATTTTTATGCTTTCAATATTCCCCTTTATTTTTATATTTTCCCTTTAGGTTTAATTTTTTTTGCAAACATATTTGCTAGTCTTTAAATACTGAACTGCTTCTGTTTACCTTACCTCTTTTTTGGGTATGTTACTACTAAACATCTTACTTCTTTGTAAATTTAAACATATCCAATTGTATTTCTAAATTCTTATAAATTTTTTAAATATAATTGCTATCTCTTTAAAGGTATACGACATAATATTATTTGAACACCTTTAGCTAAACTCTTAAAATGTGTGCGGTACCTGTCTTGAGCAATAGCCAAATTTATTAGCCATCTAATTTAAAAAGAGCCGCAAACTTTAAACTGCTTTAACCCCATTCCCAGGTGAACTTCGCACTTTGAAAAACTCGAATTCGATCAGTGTCACTTACCCAAACAAACTTTCCACGTTTCAGTTCTCCTCAAAGTGCAAATTAGTTTTCTTTGGTGGATAATTTTTTTGTCGGTCTGCTTCGGACACGGTCTAAACTCGTTGCTGGCTCAATAAATTAACCGAAAATCCTGTGGCAATGGGTTTTTGTAGTTCTACGTCCTTTTTTCTATCGCACACAGACAATCGGTTGGCGCGGCAGAGTATTAAAAACTCATTAGGCCACCGTCGAGGACGCTGGAGACTATGGTTTTTTTTAATTTATGCAAATATCGACCGCACATATGCACAGGAAGAGGTTTTTGGATCTGGCGAAAAGTTGGAAGTCTGCGGGAAGTGTTCGTCCTTTTTTATTCCGGTAACTTGGCGAAAGTAAATCGAATGTCAACCGCACACATGCAGGGCGAACACTTAATCAAAGGCATACACACACTCGCCGAAAAAGAGAGCAGAGGTCCTGCCGGGGGAGGTCCTGCGAGGGAGGTCCTGCCTGCTGTCAGAAACACGTGCGATACGTGACCTAGGCCAAGCGTTAAATTCACGCGCCAATCTACACGACTTCACTGGGGGGTCTTCACTGCTTTCTTCGGAAAAATCGGAATTTGAATCGTATTCGAAAACGTAGCTGCAGCTGTATCTGCTATATATCCCAACCACACATACACGTGTCGACCAAATCCGCTTAGGACAAACTGACGACTGATTCTGCAAGTTGGCCAAGAAGTTCGCATTGGCGGCGACTTCGTTCGCTCATTCGCCATCCTCATCATCCGTCGTCGGCTGGCCATGCCACATCGGCTATGTGGATGCCCGTCCATGCCCCTCCATACAAATCCGGTGTCGCAGAGCTCCGCAATTCGCGACCTGCCACACCAAAAAAGAGAGTGCCTTAAGAGAGTCTGTTCCGATTGCCACTCGTTTCGCCACAGGAAAGCGCAACTAGTTTGTGCGACTGGAAGGGAATGGAGCCAAATGTGTGGCATTGGAAGTGCCTCAGTTTTCCTCGGGAACCGACCCCCTTTACCTCCCCCCAAAAGTCCCATAAGTAAATACCGGCCGCCCGTTTTGTTTGCCCAATTAAATGCCACATATGTCATAAGCATAATCTCCCCAAACCAGCCAAACCAAACCAAGCGAACCCCTTTCAGCAATTTTTTTAATTAATCATTAATAAGAGCCACGCTTGGCTGGCGATAAAAGCAACTGCCCCTCTTCCTCCCCCCTCGCAGAATCCAAAATTGCAGTTGCACTCCGGTCTCCGTACCCTTTGATATGTCCGCTTTCGGAGGAGCCAGCAATTAGGAACAACGGCCAAACAGCCCACAAATGGCGCCCTACCCCAAGCCCGTCTTCATTGAGACACAGAGAAAAATAATCAGTGATTTATTTTTACTCTTAACAATTTAATTAATTTTAAGTGAGCTAAAAATAGATTTAAAGCAAAAAATATTATACAGTAAAAAGGCTTGAAACCAACTTTTGGTATACTTTTAAAACGAAAAGGTCAACATATGTTTTAAAATATTAACTTTAAATTGAAAAATATTAAAATTTTATCCTAGACAATTGAAAAAGTATTCTATAATAAAATGTACATAATCAAGTATTAAAAATATTTTTAAATTCCTAATAGTACTCTATAAAATTAATTCATTCTACTTTTAATTGTATTCTTAATAAATAATCATGGAGAAAAATAATGAATGCTTAAACCATATAAAGCAATACAATAAATTTAAATAATTAGCTTAAGATAATTACATGAATTAACTTCAAAATGTAGCACTAATTTTGTCAGTGCAGTTGGCAGTCCCTATTCAATTCACAGATGCGGTAGCGAAACAGAACCAGATCACGTTCCCTGTCCCCATGGGTCGCGAGAAAGACTTTGACGCTTGGCAAGCGAAATTGCAAAGAAATCTAAAAATAAATAGGAAAGAAAAATGAATTACTGACTAGGACATGCTCTTTGATTTATGAAAATACATTAATTCCATAAAATGGTGGAATGAAATGTACAATATAAATATGTAAATGTAATGTAAATGTAAATATAAAAAACAAAATAAATTTCTTGATAAAGTTAATGTAAGCTTTAGGACCTTAACAAATTCAAAATGTTTGTTTTATTTTATATTAACTTATGTTAACAAAAGGTGTTTAGGCTTAACATATTAGAATAATGTATTTTGCTAAATATTTACTTGGTAATCCTACTAAAAAAAAAATACACCTAATATTCAGTAAAGTTACAAAGTAATAGTACTATGTAGAACCAGAGTTTCACTCGTCACAGAATAACGCTAATGAGACATCTGGCATAACTAGAGTCACACAAGGTCCTAATGCAGGGAAATGCAAACCAGACACCGCATGCAAACAACCACAACATTCGGCCACTTGGATGACGCCTCGCTGTGGAATCGATTGTAGGCAGGGCAGTAGCTCCTCGGCTATTGACTCCCCAGTTCCCCAGTTCCCCAGCTCCCGGATTCCCGAGCTCCCCGATCCGGCAATTGACCCGCGGGTCGGGTCTGTGGATCCGCCTGCGCCTCAACTGCTTCCATATGCCCCATGTGCTCCATGTGCCGTGTGATGTGCGGTTGTAAATACAATTTACTCCACTCGGTCGCACACATTCCGATGGCGCATAATTTTATTGGCTTGCCTGCGATACACTGGGATGCGTTCCCTTGACTTCGATGACAGCAAACAGAATCAACAGTCCCTAGGTGGCACCCTCTATGGCCCTACTCCCCATCCGCCCTCCACATTCTAATGAGATATGGCCCCGGAGTCACGATGCATTTTTCTGGGCCCAACATTTGCAAACAGCAAACGGATGGGCAACCATCTGCCAACACCAACGCCATGGGCTTTATCCACGAGATGCCCCTTGTGTCCACACTGGCAAAAATAATGTACCTAATTTATTAATACAAGGCAAGCTCCAAGATTCAAGTCTTGGAAGCTAAAACTATTTTTATTTTGGTCGTAAAATAAATATATTTTAAACAGCTATGATATTTTTTCCTGGTTCATAAATTGGGTTTTTGTAAAGAGAAATTTTACACAAATACATTGTTTTTTATTTATAAATAAACAACACCTTAGATGTTAAAAAAAATAATGAAATTTAAATTCAATAGTAAATGACTATTTGTTAATGTTTTTGGATGCCAAATGCTTTACTTTCATTAACCGAAAATCAAATGTGAGGCATAGAAAATCAGATGAACTTCTTACAAATAGAAATATATATATTTTTTTCCAGTGCGAAGGCACTTATGTTTTGCATATGAAATCGCGCACATAATCATCAGGGATACGGCGGCAGCGAACTCTGACTCTGGTTTCGACTGTCGATGCCCCGGCCGCTTGCAGAAATGCTAATTAGGCGTAATTCGCATAAAATTCGCAAACATTTGCTGTCACTGGAGTCCGGGACTCGGGATTCGTTCCGCAGGCGGCTTTTGATTTACGAGTTCCAGGGCCGGGCTGCCAATCTAGCCAATCTGGCCTATCAACGGCTCATCAACGGCCGCCCGACATTCGGAGGACCTGCTCCAATCAGCGGTCCATCCGTCATCAGCTCCCTGCTTAATTACTAAGTGTATGTGTAAGCCGATATGATTCAGTTTACTACGAGCCTCGGGATTTGGTTCAGGTCGCAGTCCACAGTTCGTGGTGATTTAACCTTCCTTTTGCAAGAAATTCGAAACGAGCTATATTTTTTGGTGGCAATGGAAATCAAATCGAGCTTCCCAAAACCTTCTAACATTTACAAATCTGAGTGTATATTTCCCAGCCTCACAGGTCACTTAATCATTAATCAATTATTGTAAAAATCGAAATCTGAATGCATTATATCTTACTTCAAAATATAACACTGTGTTACAGCAAAAATTCATGCTTTTTTAAACACTATTTAATTTTAGAATATTGTTTTATTAATTTATTGTTTTTTTTTTCACATAAAAAGTTTCCTTTTTAAGACTTAAGATAATCTCAATCAGGTGAAATATTATGGTATTTCTATTTAAGAATATTTTGATTAAATTTTGTGTGTATAAAGATATTCTAAAAAGTGCCTCCGAAACTCGAATAATTTACAAACCGCTTATGCAATGCTAAAATAAATTCCAATTCTCTTTCTCCTTCGGTCAACTAATCTAAATTGAATATCTCGCCAGCCAGATTGAAATGGATAAAACCATTTGCAGTTGTTTGTGTTAATTAAACGGTTAAGTTGTTCAGCGAGACTTTGGGCGGCACTTCTCAATTGAAATCGAGTTTGGCATAGTTTCAGCGGACGAAGTCTGGCATTATTCACTTAACGCAAGTACTTAGCATTCCAGGAAGAGCAGTGTGGGTGGTGAAGTGGTGGGCAACTATTATCAACTTCCTTGGCCAAAAAGCGCTTCCTTTGTCGCATCCCGGTGAAAGGATTTCAATGTCACACTGCCGCAGCTGTTCGACGGATGGTCCTGGATGGTCGGATGGTCCATTAACCCACGGGCGCATCAAGTTTGCCGTGGCGACCACAAAAGCGGCGAAAATGAAAATTCATGAAAGTTTATCACAGTGAAAAACCGGAGATGGAGTCCGATGGAAAGCGAAGCATGAGCATGGTGCCACTCGCTCCACTTTTGTGGTCAATTAACGGCCCTCGGCGAGCCTCGAGTTTGTTTTTGTGTAATGAATTTAAATGACCCACTGCGCCGGCTCATCAAGTGCTGCAAAGTGTTTTCCAACAGGACGAGGAAGGACATTCGGGCATTTCGGGGCATCCCGGTGAGATTCGGACGGCCTGCCTCAAGAGCAGACACCCTAAGCCCGCCCAGCTCTCACACTCGCTGTAAACGCACCTGTCGCCGAAAAATTTCCAACAATTTAGCTAATGACCTTCTATGCCGAGGTCAGTGCTGACAAAAATACCTAAATAAGCTAATTCTGAATGGCTAAAACCAGCCTAAATTGTAAAAATATTCAGAGAACAAGACTAAAGATACATTTCCATTTCCTTTAAAGTGCTTTTAACTCATTTTCGTCCTTAAAAATTTTTTTTAAAAAACAAAGGTAATTCAAAAAGCACGTTTAACCAAATGTAATATATGAAACATTTTTTAGACAATATTTTCAATATTAAAATTTATAAGTCAAAAAAATATTTTTGCGTTGGTTTATGTTTGTCTAAGTAAACATGAAACTAAATTAAATTTTATTAATATCTCTATTTCAATTGTCCTACTTAAAACCTTTAAAAAAACAGATTTTTATCTTTACTATTAAATAAATATCACACCAAATGCCAACATTTATGGTCTGAAAAACTACAAAGTTATGAATTTTTGATCTGAAAAGTAGCCAAAAATTAGCAGAAAATCTCTTGCTCTCAACTCAGTTAAGGAGTTCTGTGTAAATACCAAATTAATGATATTCCATGCAGAGAAATTAATCAACCGTAGCGTGGCCCAAACCAAAACCCACTACACGCTCCCAATGAACTCTATTTAACCCTAAAAACATGCCACGCCCCCTGGCCACCGCCCACTGGCCACCGCTCAGGTGTGAGCGAGAATTGTGCCCAGCTTGCGGCCATTTCATTAATCACACTCAACACTTAGCAGGAGTCTGGGCCAGGACTTGGACTTTCGACCAGGGT